TATAATGTTATAAGTGATTACTTAAAAATGAGTGCAATGAACAATCCACGACGATGATCACACTACTAGGAAAAGGGCCAATATAGACATTAATGGCGCACCACAAATGTGGTGCACCACTGCAGTGGTGCACCATGTGTAGGTATGCCATTAAGCTCCAAATACTAATGGCGCACGACACCCACGGTGCGCCACTACAAACATTTTTTTTCAAAACTAGTAATGGCGCACCACACCCACAGTGCACCATTACTAACTTTGACCAAAAATTCCATCGAATGCACCCACCTGGACCGCCTTTTCAGTTTAAAAAAAAGAAAAGAAAATGATGGAAATGTCAAAAAAAATAAAACAAAATAAGTTTCCCATGCGATATATGGTCTACTTGTTGGAAAAATTTACAAATATGAATTTCGACTTTATTTGCAAAATCTCTCTGGAATTTGTAAAATGGGCATAACTTTTGCCTACGAACTTGAATTAAAAAAAATATATGAAAAATCATCTACTCGAAAAGTAACATCCGAATTCAACCGGGGGGGGGGTGGTGGTGGGTGGGGGGAACCCCGTTGAAGATTTTTAGAATCCCCAAAAACCTAACAGAATAAAAGATACGGAGCTTTTAAGATCTAGAGGGGAAAAAATGGAAAAAAAATTCAAACTTAGTAGTGGCGCACCATTTGCTAGGTGCGCCACTAATAACAGAAAAAGAAAATCCAGCCCAAAATTTTTTTTGGAAAAAATGTTCAAAATATGATACGTAATATGAACGGAAGTTTGAAATATTTTTTCAAAATTTCAGCACACTCATGAACATGAACAAAGTCCTAGACATCAACAAGGTTTTGTAGGATTGATATGCTAGATATATCAACAAATGCCTGTTAAGTGAGCTGGTGCTGGGGTTTGATAGAACTTTGAAGTTAAGCGTGCTCGGGCTGGAGTAGTGTGAGGATGAGTGACCTTTTGGGAAGTTTGACCACGGAGTGCGATTTAATTTGAGATTAAGCCATAGTGACTTGAGATAATGGAAAAAAATTGAACAAATTTTTTCCAGTAATGACGTACTTCTCTGTGGTGCGCCATTACTAAGTCAGATAGTAACGATGCACCTCTAGGCATAGTAATGACGCACTGTGTAAGTCATCTTACGAAAACCAAATAATCCAAAAACACTTAGGTGCGGTGCATTAAATTCTACCTCGTTTCTTGTTTCTTGACATATCAACCAATAAGAGATGTGAGGTGTGCATGCTTTTAATGACTTGAGACTACCAAACACGATATGCAGTGGTTAGTTCATTGCATGCAATGCTATTAATTAGCAAATGAACATTAAGTTCTCTCGTTTTCTCCTCCTCCTTGGTCACGGTGCACAACCTAAAATGACTTACTCACCTAGACGGAGGGAGTATTTGTGATAGTAATGGCGCACTATAGGTGCGCCATTACTAAAAATTACTAGTGACGTGATGATAGTGGCGCACCTGTAGTGCGCCATTAATGGGCAAAACAGGTGCGCCACTAATTAGCATTTTCCTAGTAGTGTCATATGTCGGATAGAAAAATTCACACAATGGAGTGAAAAATGTGTGTCGGCCTCTCCCTCTTCTATTCTTCGGCTAGGAGGCACGTCAGATCCACTGCAGCGCGCGTGATGGGCGCCGGTTTGGTCAGAGCCGTCGGGATTTGACCACTTGTGGCCAACGTGCGGCACTGGATGGTGGCAGCGGCCCTTCGGGTCCCTGGCGTGGATGTGGGTTGTGACGGCGTGGTGGTAGCCCATGGTGGTGCTCCAGGTTGGTTTGCATCCTAGTGCATGCTCCAGCGTTAGTCTATTGGTGAGCGACTCGTGTGGTGGTCTCCACTTAATTACAAAGTTGTGTTTGTACAGGGTTGTACAGGGGGCACTGAAGGGTTGGACTTTTCCCAACTCTATCCACCATTGAGGGATGATCCGTCGTCGGGGGGGGGGGGCATGATGTCATCATCCTTGCCTCAGGTCTAGTGGTGGCATGCCATCGATGAGCTCGGCTTTGCCCGGGTGGGGCAAGGTGGGGCGGTGCAGGCCAGCTCTGGCCAGCCGTGGACCTGGCAGCTGTTCAGCGGTGTGGAAGGAGGTGCCTTCCCGCCCGTCTCTTCTGCCATCTTGGTTACGAGCCTGTGGCAGGGATGGAGTTGGTGCCACGGATGTCGGGGGCGGTGACCTTGGTGGTGGGAGCCGTGGCGCTAGGGGCGGAGCATGCAGCCTAGCCCTTTTTTGGCGACTACGGTCGTGTGGGCGGCGTGGTGGCCAGAGTGTGACATTCGGTGGCGTGGTGCGGTAGGCCATAGCTCAATTTGGTGACGGTGAGTGCTGGTCGGAGTGAAAAACCGTTTTTACTTGTCAAGTCGGTGGGGCGGTGTTCTCGTGTTGTCCCCTTCTTATAGGCCATGTCATGGGTACTCACTGTTCGTTGTGGTCCTTCGGGGAAACCCTGGTCTTCCGATTGGGAGGTGGTGGCGCTTCGTTGTCGTTCCCTTCTTGAAAGCGCCACCTCGGGCAAGGCTTCATCTCACTGTGATGTCATGTCCATGGTTGTGTGCCCCGACACTCCATAGTGATGCGTATTGTTCACCTATTTGTTGGCTTGGAGTTGTATGGGGTAGCGAGGCTGTTTCAACGTATTTGTATCATGTCTTGGGTGTATGTTGCGTTGGCGTGTTTGTATTAGTAGCTCGATAATTACAAAACAGTAAAACTGAGAGACCTACGAGGCTCCACAACGCTTTGGTGTTGCTAGCCGTAGGATCGCGATCATGTCGCCTGTACGTTTGTTTAGGCTACTGCTCCGCAGAACCATCTACACCACCTGTTGTTTATTGGGCTTCGATTGTTTATTGGGCCTGTGAAGTAGTTTCAGCGAACAAAGTGTAAAACACATACGTACGTAGCTGCGTGTGTAGCCTAAAAAACGTAGATGCGTGTGTCCGCATATCAGCGCCACCCAACTATTCTTATATTCCTTCTAAAAAAAGCTATTCTTGTATTCCTTTTTTTATATGCACTATTTATTTAAAAAACCTGAGCAGTCACCTAGCTAATTCTACTCCCCATGACATAATTACTATGTCATATAAAATATGTGTGTTACGTCATGCAAATTTAATCCATATGTTTTACATTTTCAAAATTTTACATGATATTTTATCATTCTATCATAACACGGACAAGCGCAGCAACGTGCGTCATCATGATCTAGTGGTTACTTTATATGTAATAGACGGAGAATTTTTTCGGTTAATAGGTATTACAAGATATTTATCGCACTTGAACAAAATTCTGGACGCTCTTTTACGATTTCATGACTGTACATAGCTTCTAGTTTCACACGAATCGGATCATCTACTCCAACCAATTTTTTCCCCAGTGCACTTGTTGTACAATCGAGGCATTTCTGCATACTTGTAGGTTTTACTGAAACGGTCCTCCTTTATTTTGTTTTATAAACCCCCATTATGTGTTTGCATTTTTACTCTACTACCATGCCTTTTATTCTCCTGTTGTGTACTCCCTCTGTTCCTAAATATAAGTCTTTAAAGACATTTCATTATAAACCACATACGGAGTAAAATAAATGAACTACGCTCTAAAATGCATCTATATACATTCGTATGTGGTTCATAATGAAATCTCTGCAAAGGCTTAGGAACGGAGGAAGTATTTGTGCTTTGAACTGGGCCGTAAATTCACAGATTTACTCTGTTCACCGAATCTCTTTCCCCGACTGCTCCAATGCCTTCTTTACTGCCCAAGGGCCAAGCAAGCACGCCACGCCACATTTATTGCGCTTCATTTTGCCGTTTCCCAGTGCAGCTTGCCGTCATCGTGTCGGGGACATCTGGATGACTGGGAAGCATCCAACTGACCGAAGTGATACGGGAATTTTTTTAGGTTTGAAAATAGTACAGTGAACTTTGGTCATGTTGCCATAGGCGGTGAAGCTAAACTAATGCTTTGGCCAACTAAGCTTAACTTATTACTTGATGTAAGGTTGTGAAACATAGCAACCATATTTTATGTTTTGACGTTTGGCGCTGCAACAATTTCTTTATAGTCCAGCTGGTTCTGCTGTTGGATAAACAATCCTACCGTACTCCACGCAGCGTCAAAGTCGTACACACACAGTCCCCCATGAGAGGCTATGGCTGCGCGGTTCACCTATGGCAATGCCATGTCCCGTCGCGCCTCGGGAGCCGTCGTCCTGCAACTTGAGCCGGTGGCAGGCACGCCCTGCATTGAAGGTCTAGAAGTAATTGGAAAAGAAGGAAAACAAAATCTGCTAGTATTCCAATCCAACCGTTGAACTCAGCAGAATTTGCAATGAGAGATAGCATGAAAAATCCAACAGAAATTGCAATGACACATATTTTGATTAATGCCAATTTACATTGCAAAAAATAGAGAGTTTGAGCACTGGTTTATACTACCCAGTTTTCTGGCTAATTACCTAAGGAAAAAAATTAGACAAAAATTGAGCCCAAATTCACTAGGGAATATTTTTATGTGGCCAGCCAAAATTACATCATTCCATTCGTATTTAAAATAGTTTCTAATGATATAGTTTTTGACGACATGTATGAATATTTTGTTAGTTAATCTGTGGTTAAAATTTAGCATAAAATATAATGAGGAGCTGAGGTAGGAGGCGAGAACTTGACGCTGTACTTTTAACTTGCCAAGTAAGGAACCGGCTAGCAGGACTGTGCGATAGTACTACGGTCACTGCATGGCCACGGCTTTGGCCTGCTGCAACGTCAAGCACGCCACATCCTATGTTTTACCACTGTCAAATCTATCGACATTATTAATTCACCCGCCGCGCTTGCTGCTTTTACCTCGGCCTTCTCCTCTTCCACCTCGCGAGCCGAGCATTTCACACTTAAGACAGGCAGAGTGGTTGAGCATGCAGGCTGCTAGTGGTAGCTCGTCGGAAAGGGTCAGGGGCTCGCCGTCGGCGATGGAGACGGGCGGCGGCCAGAGCGCCAAGAAGCAGAGGCTGGATCTGGTGCTGGCCAGCCCGGCCCCGGTGAAGCAAGAGATGGTCGTGCTCATGCACGAGGCGGGCGAGATCGTGCCGGCGATACAGGCCCCGACCAAGGAGGCCCATCTGGGCCTCACCGTTCTGCAGTGCCACTTCTGCTCCCGCCCCTTGAAGCCGCCCGTCCACCAGGTAAGGTCATCTATTTGTTCCATTCACCTGACCGATCGAGGAAGGGAGGCGCGGGTTTCTTGACGCGGTGTTGTTCGGTTAATTTGTGCAGTGTAACGCTGGGCACCTGGCATGCGGCGACTGCCGCGGCGAGCGCCCCGGTGATGAGCGGCAGTGCCAGAAGTGCCAGCGTGGCGGCGGTTTCGACGTCCATAACACGGCGATGGACGCCGTGGTCTCCGCGGCCAGGGTAGAGTGCGCGCACGACGGCTGCGGGCTCTTCATCACCTACCACAAGCTCCAAGACCACCAGGACGCGTGCCCGTTCGCGCCTTGCAAGTGCCCCGTTCCCGGCTGCGGCTTTGAAGGCCCGCCGCAAACGCTCCCCCACCACCTCACCGATGTCCACCCCATGCCCGTGCAAACGATCCAGTATGGCAAGGTTCTTCAGCTGCAGGTGCCGGTGTTGGAGCCGCGGCGCCTGCTGTTCGCGGAGGAGGACGATCACGTGTTTCTCGTGGTCGGCGGCGCTCTCGGTCCGAGCGCACCTATCGCTGTGTCGGTTGTGTGCATCAGGGCGGGGGCCTCCCCGCCGCCGCACTACACGGCCAAGGTGTGGGTGAATGGGCCGCCGTCGGCGGTTAACGGCAGGGTCAACACTGTCAGAGCAGAAATCGAGGTGACGAGCACCAAGGAGCCCGGCGTCCTCGCCGTGGAGGAGCTGATGACCTTCTTGACGGTGCCGCCCAAGATGCTTGCTTGGGATGGGCCGTCCAGGTCCAGGACTGTTTCGCTCAGCATTCGGATTGACAAGACTTCATCCTAAATGATTCCACAAGTTTAGTCTTCTAGTGATCTTAGTAATCTAGGGTTTAATTTGGTTTACTTTAGCTTGAGAGATGATGGATCTTGGTGATGATGGAGCAGTTACTTCAAGATTAGGCAGCAGTTGAAGTAATTTCCAACTGTGGAAGGTGTATTTTGTGACTCTTGGGTATAAGATCCTCTGGGCAACAAGCAAACCTAAATGTATGCTGCTTATATGTTTACTCCCACCAGAGTTCACGGAGTAATTATTAACAGTGTGTCGCATACTTCTCCCACCAGGTTATATGCATTATGTCCCATCAAACAAAAAGTTATATGCCTTATGTGATAGTTACGTACTACTCCAGTCATGAATATAAGATATTTGAATATTTTAATATGGACTACGTGTAGTTTTTTCGCAAAAAACCAAAGAAAAGACTACATGCATACTAAAATGAGTGAACAAAAATACTAAATCATGTCTATATGAATTTGATTCTAAAAAATGTTAGAACGTCTTATATTTTGAAAGGAGGAGTAGCTCCAAAGCATTTCATTTGCATCCGTGAACTCTGTACTGATATAAGCCATGAAGATGGCTTCATATGACGGCCAGATTAGGCATTATCTATCTACTCTATTATGTGATGGTCTTTAAAAAATCGATGCAGAAAGTACACCATAGTTTGTCGGAAATACAAGAAGAATGACAAGCTTAAGGTAAAAATGAAAAATGAAAGAAAAAGGTGAAGAACTAAAGAGTTTAAACGGATGAAAGACAAAGAAATAAAAATGGGAAGACAAATATGATTTACAAGCAACTACAACTAGATAAACCACTGTGCATGGTCTCCATGGCCCATGGCCCATAGCATATTTATGTGTTCGTAGAAACATGACTGAACTGATCGACTAGAAACGAATGCATTGACGACTGATACGGCTTAATTAATAATAATACAAGATTAGTTCATGCAAGATAATGTGGCTTAGTAGGACAGACATACAAAGAACTTGGGAGAGGAAGGACACTGAATGAGCGAGAGACTAAACACATAATGTATATATAACTAACTAATGCATACATACTGAGGGGCTGCATGCTAATTAACTGATAAATGAGAATACTAAACAAAACTGAAGATGCTAAAATATGAACAATCGTAATACACAGAGATTACTGAAGATGAATAAAATCTTAAACACCCCCGCATAAAAAAAGAATAAAAACTTCAAACTAAATAAGTAAACATGGAAGAATACACAAAAAAATTCTTAAAACTATATATTAACACTACTAAGAAAAAGGCTAGCAGCAGCGCGGGTTTTAGATGTATCAGTAACGCGGGGATAGACGCTACTAATAAGGCGCTACAGCTAACAGATAGCAGTAGCGCGTGCTCACCGGCGCTACTGCTACACAAGTGTAGCAGCAGCGCTGTTAGCGGAAGCTCGCTACTGTTAGTAGCTCTAGCGCGCTTTGCCTTGACGCGCTACTGCTATCGCGGCGCTGCTGCAAACTTTTATACACTCGCTACTGCTAATTTAAGTAGTTTTTTTGGCATATTTGTTTTGTATTTGAACATGCTTTATAGAAGAATCTTTAGCACATAGAAATGTCATCATGATACACATACAAATGCCCGCGAGACCACAAATGTAATCATAACATGTACATACAAATAGTCTCATCATAATCATCATCCAACACAAAGTGATATTTTGTCATCATCTCAAAAATAGCGATACATGCAAGTCTCGAATACTTGCAACTACAACAACGTCATCCATCTAAACAAAGGTATACGCAAGAAGTGCTATCACTATGAGTGAGAGCGGAACTATGCAGTACATGAGGTGGCGGTTACGAGTCCTCTCTCGCGCTAGCGTGAACCTCAAGTAACTAGCTTCTCCTTCTTGTCTGCTTTTGAAGCCTTTATGGCTGGTGCCCGTGAACCCATACACATGCGCCTGACACTCATGCCACTCATTGTACACCCCCGGAACCTTCCCTTTGTACACTACATAGCAATTCCATCTCGCCATCAAGAAACTAGGTACCTGTTAGAGATGCATGTTCATGAAGATGATGTACAATCATATATATGCAAAAAAATATACTAGAGCAACACCGAAAAAGAAAGGGTTAGCAACTAGATGCAACATACAGTACGCAAATTAATTAACTAGAGGTACGCAGGTCATCGTACGCAAACTAACAAAGTAGCGTTACGCAAGTTCGGCAGGGACCGTGGACATCACAAAGTTTCATCGCTATAAAAAGTATACAAGTTCAACCGACACATATCATCATCATCGGCATCATAAATCACTAGAAGTTCCATCCTTCCATATCATCGAGGACGAACCCTAGCTTCTTGAACGGCGTGAGTTCTAGACGTTGCAAGCCTATGCGAGTTCGGATGTCAGCTCGCGATATAGGGCCGTGGTGGAACATCCCCTTCTCATCGACGACTTCTTTCATGATGATCGTCGCAATGTCGCTTTGGATGCGAAAGAAGTCATCTCTAAGTTTATAATCCGCTTCTCCATGAGATTCTAGCCACTTGTGGATATGATCATCATTTCTGCTGTTAATGCGAAGCTTTTGGTGATCCGTGTTGAACTGAATCATGAGATGGACGATGTAGAATCCATCCTTGTTGCTTGGTTTTGGGACATGGATGCAGGAGAAGTTAGTTTTATGCGCGAAACCCATCTTCTTGTTCCTTTGTTTCTTGATCTGCACGTGGCCACCTCTAAAGCTGAAGCCTTGGAGAGCATCATCTAGAATATTCATTATGTGGGTGTAGTCTTTTTTTCTCGTAGTCTCTGGAAAGGCCAAAATATACGGCGTGGGAGACTTGCGGGTAAAGAACGATAAGGACGGTGCGCCCGTTGCTGCGGGGAAAAGACACCTCAAATTATTCCCCATATGAGAGAGAAGGAATGATTGAAATGTACGAAAGGGTTGTCCGGAACTGACTTACTTTGGATGATAAGGCACGAGGACAATTTCCCGGTCCTTATTCTGTACCATGAAGTTTTGGAGGTACTCCCTAGCAGTTTCACGCTCAAAGTCGCCGAGACTCAAGAAAGACTCGTGCATGTAGTACGGATCCGCCACACAGATTTGCGAGACTTCTTCACTCTTCATGACAGAGCTCATATGTAGCGCAAAAAGGCGGACGGTAGTAAAATCAAGCCGCCTTGTTAGAAACATCTCAAAGATATGGTCAAACCGCAGGAAGAACACCTCCGCGGGCCGTGTGTCGACGTAGCACTTCCCCTCAGACACACGAGCCGCGTATGTCGGATATCCTGGATCCTTTGAGGCTAGTAGGCTTTTCTCAGTCGACAGCACATGGTCGTGCAGTCTCCTGAGATCCCCTGATAGTGCCTCCAGCGGTTTTGGCGGTAGCATCGGCTCGCCCGTGAGATGGAACATGACCGCACCTTTCACGGGTACACACTCTTCAGAATGCATCGTCTGGCTGCTATGTGTTTTGGCTTGTTTGGAGGCAGTTACCTTCCCCGATCTCTTCCTCTCCTTTTTCTTGGGCACACCTTCCAGACCCTTCCTTAACCCCTGCCCCAGTGTTCCCGGGCTAAGTACTGTACGACCCTCGCGCCCGGCTAGTTGAGCCTGTGTTGAGGCGGCATTTTCAGGCGTGTCCTGTGAGGATTTCATGAAGAGAGACTTTTTGCAATCCATGGTACGGCCCTGCCCGGGCATATCATCCATATCCTCATTAGCAAGCTGATAGCCCGATTCTTCATATGGTTGACTCATCATATCTATGTCACAGTCATACGCGTTTGTATTGAGGTAATCCATAGGGTCGACCTTCGTCTCATCATCCATTCTCTGTTCTACAGGAGAAATTACATCAGCCAGTACTATTGCACCCCCTTCATCATGTCATCCGCCGCTCTCACCCGGCACTACAGGAGCTGGTAATTGCGTAGGCGGGGTGGTGGTCTTCGCACATGCTTGTTGATGTGTGGTAGTTATTGGTGTGCTCTCGGCCGACTCCAGAATAAGATTCTTCGGCCATAGCAGCACCCAATTCTTGCAGCTTCCAATCCGCGGCGGGGTCTCGTCATCCGCTCCCACATGCTGTACTGGAGGAGGCAAATCCTCGTGCCCCGATTTCACACTGGTCAAGCTAACCCTAAAGTGCCCAGCGGGGATCGGCTGGTTGTGGAACGTGCGTTGAGAGGGGTCCATTGTCATCCCCTTTCCCACGTCCACCTTTTGGCCTTTGATCAAGTAGAGTATGGTGCACGGGGTTTCTTTCGCCTGCAAACACATATGTCTGTGGCGTAAAACAACCGAAAGGCAACAAAAATGGAATATTATATGTTGGTGCGACATGTAATTACCGTGACGGTGTCGAGCTTAGCCAAAGACGAAGGCCCACCTAGCGCGCCTAAGACTGAGGACAGGCTGCTATAAGCGGGAGCGGCTGCGAGACGAGGCCCAGTTGCGTGAGCAAGTGATGGTGCGATGGTGTTGTTGTTCATGGAGTTGCTCCCAACGAAACTGGGCATCGGGAAATCATGTACCGTCTTGTCTGGATTTTCCTTCGCCCAGTTGATGATAACTGGAACCAAGTTAGTAGCGAAATCATTTCTGCAGGCAGTTATAGCTGCATTGACTGCCTGCTGTAGCAACTCATATTTGTCCTTGATTGCTTTTTTCGCGTCCTCAGCTGCTTTTTTCTCGACCGCAAGCTTCACCTTCGCGTCGATGTCCGCCTGACTAAACTTCTTTTTCAGCTTCTTGGCCTCCGGGCCCTCGTTGTAAAACACCTTCCACGTGGCGCCGTGTCCAGCGCCGTGCACATGACCATATTGCGGCCGCTAATCCAAAGGGAGTCCCTTAAGTTCATTCAAGGCCCGGTTGAGAGGGGTGTCCCACTTGGGCCTCATCAGAGAAGTAGGGCTTTCGGCTGCAAGCTGGTGTTGCTTCTCCAGTAGTCTAATCAATTTCCTCGTGATCTTGTCCGTGTA